TTTACGTACCCGTAATTACCGGCTGCTTATCTCTCTAATACGATGCCTTCACCGAAGTATGGCATGTTTTTGTTTCATTATTCGATTATTTGTTTTTGTGCGTTGATTTTATCACATATAACATTCGATTTATCACATATAATAATTCGAATTTATCAACTTATATCATATTCGATTTATTCAGCATATAACATTCGATTTATCACGTATAACATTCGATTTATCACACTTAACAGCATAGAAACAAGCAGCTGTCCGCCCTTTTCATCCTCCTCGTGAATAGGCTCTAGAAACTATAGCCCTTGCGATCCGCCACCAGTGATCACCAGGACAGGGACAGGGGGAGGGAGGAGGGGCAGGGCCACAGGGCAGCGTAAGGGCTATAGTTCTAGAGCTACCTCTGATTCGCTTCGCTCCTCGATTACACCGTGGCGGCTGGAAAAAACGCAATATTTACCTTTTCCCGGAGCCCTTCTTCTTAGCTCAGTCCACGACCTACGTTTGGGACGGCCAGCGGTGAGTTTTGCATTCGATGTTGGATTGCGTTGCCGCTAGACGCGTACTGGCTATTCGTTGCCAAACGGAGTTCACGTTACCACGGTGCATCTCAGCAGCTACTGCGCCGGCTCTGTCTCCACGACGCACGACTAATGATGCTAAACGTCGCGAGAGCTCGAAAGCTTAGCTATCACTTCCTCCTCGCTCTCTCTCTCTCTCCTTCTCTCTCATCACTCGGCTGGGCTCATTTATGCAGGCACGCGCACCGGCAGCGGCAAGGCCGGGAATGTTACACACACGCCGCGTCAAATAATTGCATAATGATCTGAGGAAGAAATACGGTGTGGGATCATAATATTACGATGGGTATGCCGCAACTGACAAGGGATGACCAGTATACGCAGTCGCGAGCGGCACATGGAAGATGGCATCAGTTAATTTATTAGATAGATAGATACGATAGCATAGATAGATGAGCATTAGATAGATGATAGATAGATAGTAGGATATTATAGATAGTAGTAGATACATAGATAGTACATAAATAGATCGATTAATCGATGATTGACGTTTGATCGGATAGAAGATAGATAGATAGATAGCGCTATGGATAGATAGATAGATAGCATAGAAAGATGGTAGCGCAAGTAAATAGATACTATGATAGATCAATTGATTGCATCGATAGGATAGCATAGATCGATCGATCAATCCGATCGATCGATAGCATAGATTGAGATAGATAGATAGCTCAATCATAATAGATAGTAGATAGATAGAGATTGTAGATAGATAGATAGATAGATAGATAGATAGATAGATAGCCGAGTAGATGATAGATAGAATAGAATAGATAGATAGATAGTTATTTTAGATAGATAGATAGATAGATAGAATAGGCTGAGATTTCTTCCCTAGTGAGAATGTGATCATGCAGTAGGACAATTAAAGATGAGAGTGGCTATTTCGTGAAATCAGCCGTTATTCTCCTGATGGTTGAGTTCGTGAGTTGCTGCTTTCAAGGCAGAGGTCACCGTCAGGGCATGGGTTCATCCAGTGTCTAGGGTACGTGGGGTACGTCATCCCCCAAGGGCGTACTCCGCATAGTGACGTAATATATATATATATGCGCACTCATTATTTCCCACCACCCTTTTTCGTTTTCCTTGGTCATCTTTTTGCCCCCAATTTGCTCCTAGCCCATCTTTTTGCCCCCCAATTTTCATCTGCCTACTGTTTTTACCCTTGCACGCCTGCGGCTAGGGCGCTCTCTTAATTATAAAACACAGGCTCTACATTATTAACATATCTATTTCAAAAATCTATGCTATAAGATCACTCCCTAACCATAATAAATGCCTTATTCATCAGAAATAATGGCTTCTGTGGTGAGATATTGCGCATGCGCTTAACACTCTAAAGCTAAGCCAGCATTGACTGTATTCTGGCTTGGTATATACGCAGCGGGACCTTACATGCAAGGCTCTTCCTCCTATTCTTAAATGATTTATGCTGATTGGAATTTTATCATATAAATATATGCTTTAGGATAACTCTTCTTCATTTTAAAAATTGCATAATCTTTGCAAAATACGATTGCCTCTCGCGGAGATATTGCGCATGCGCGCGCACGCTGTTAGGCGCTACAGTGCCGTTTGAAGAAATTTATAATATAGCTTGCTGCGGGGAAAGGGGGATGCGAGATGAGCGAAAAAGCGGCAGGCGAAGATAGCTGGGCTGCGCGGTAGAAGGAAGACGGTGGCTGAGTTGCAGGCACAGGAGGGAGGCAAGGGGAAGCGCGCGAGGGATATATTAAGTAGATGTTTATGTACCCTACATGCTACGGGCGCGCCCTCCTAATTATCAACACAGGTCTACTGATAAAAGTTTTATTCAGGAATCTATGCTGCAGATACCGCCTAATCATTTTAAATTGCATATTCATCACAAATTATAACTCCGTCTGGTGGATATTGCGCTGCGCTAACACACTAACGTAAGCAGATTGGTCTGGCCTGGTAGTGGCTGGTATAACGCGCCGCGACCTATTATTTATATTGCGTCTTTTTACATAACATGATCATCAAAAGCGCAGCACATCGATATCGCAAACGCCTGAACAGTAAAATGAAGTGAACGTGTTCCTATAACGTCACTCGTATACTTCTGGTACAGGTGGCAATTATCTTGGGCAAACATTGGTGCGGCCGAAAGAACAAACACAGTGACTCTATAGCGCTGTTAAAATTATGTCGAATCATGCGGCCCGCTGTTGGGGGGAATAACAAACGTCAAACAAAGGTGGGTCCGTCTGTGTATCCACGAGTCTACAGCCTAAAGCAACAGCAGTGCATGAGTGAGGCTGCCAACACCGGCCGCTGTGTGCATGGCGCTAGAGTAGCATTCAGCGGGAATGCGGTTACGCGATCACAGGACCATTATGCTTCTTCTATTAGATTTGTAATGAGAAAGAAATGAAATCTGAGATGAAATTGCAGATGCAAGAAACGGATGCCGCTCAACACAGAGTCTTCTCGAGCTGCGCATAATATGACAGCACCGAGCTCGCTATTCGCTATTTATATTGCGGTTTGAATGGAAAGAAAGGAATCAGCTTCGTATTTCAGAGTAGGGAAGAAGTTGCATCACCGCGGATTCTGCTCCGGAGCTCCTTTTCCCCATTCCTTCGTTCCCTCTTTCTCTTTCTCCTCTCACTCTTCCTTCTCCTTGGTGATCTAGAAGCATTACACCGCATGTATATAATCGTTTATAGAAAAGGAGAGGAGATGGCAATTAACCTCCTCCGCGGCTGTACGCCTTCTCTCGATCCTTCTCCTCTTTCTCTCTTCCATCTTACTGATGACAAAAAAGCTTTTCAGCTTGTGTGCAAAATCCGACTTTTCAGAGCAGGAGATAATATTGCAGCTTATGCCGTGAGGACTTCCGTTCCTTACTCCATCTCAATTCCTCTGCCTTCTCTCCGATAATAGAAAAAAATTTACATCGTATATTTTATATCTGTTTTTTTACCCCCAGGCCAGTAAAGAGCCTTACCACCGCAGCATACACGCAGCGGAGGTTATTGTTTCCCACACTTCCTTTCCTCTTTCTTTTACATCGCATATTTTATATCTGTTTTTCCCCAGGGCAGGAAAGAGCCTTACCACCGCAGGAGGTCACCGTCCCCCACTCTTCCTTTTCCTCTTTCTTCATCTTGTCCTCTCCGGTCCCCCCACCCTTCTCCTCACCGATGACGGACTCTGGAGGAGGACAGCTGCACGCGATGGGAGTGCCGACGATGTTAGGGTCGGCCGTGATTCAGCGCGAGCGAGGCTACTTCTTCGCGCTGTTCTGGCAACACAAGCACGTGACGATTACCTACTGCTGCGTGTTCTGGAGCTTCGGAATGTGCGTCGCTTTCCTCGGCCCGACGCTGCTCGACCTCGGCTGCCTCGTGTCGGCCGACCTGAAGAGTATGAGCTGGATCTTCTTCGCGCAGTCGCTGTTCGTGCTGCTCGGATCCATGGGCGGAGGCTTCCTCGTTGACCGGTGAGTGAGATTTAATATTTATTAAAAATATTTTTATTTATGTTTTAAGATCAATCCTGAATAGTCCCTGACGGTTAATTTTTGATGGAGCACTCAAGAAAAATTTCTGGAATGGAATTCCCCAACTGACAGACTAGAATTTCCCACCAGAATTTGACGAGATTTCTGGAGTATAATTCCACACGGGTGAATTTCCCCGTGTAGAATCGCTTGCAGTAGAATTTCCACAGTAGAATTCCCTTACGGAAGAATGTTTGAAAGCTTTTTACATCGAACGGACTCCCTGCCCTTAAAAAGAGGGAGTCCCTCAGAAAAATGAGGGAGTCCGCAGTCTGCAGCTCAAAACTAAAGATAACGCATGTGCTTAATTTGAAGATTCATGCGGTTGCACAACTGCCAAATTTTCTTTGGACATTTGCTGAAAAAATACAGTAATTCTGCGAGGTCTTGCTCTGGAACGAACTAGTTATTATGGCAGAATTGTCAGGGAGTCGCACGGACTCCTGAATATGTCAAATCGGGGAGTATTTGACTCCGGACTCCCGTTAATTTCGCACCCTGTTATTTTACCGTCGCGTCTCATTTTTCGCAGGTGGCTGCCGGACGAGACGGAGCAGTCGCGCGTCGCCTACATCAGCGCCCTCTCGCAGAGCGACCTCACGCTCAGCCCCGTCGGGCTCAACTCCGAGTCGTATCGCATCTACGAGGCGATGTCGTACGGCTCCGTGCCCGTGCTCGAGGACGTGATGACGGCCGGCTCGTGCGGCGCGCACCCCAACGCGAGCGTCGCCGCCGCCGCGCCGCCCTACCGCCTGCTCAAGGAGATGCGCGCGCCCGTCATGTTCGTGCGCGACTGGACGGAGCTGCCCGCGATTCTCGACCGGGAGAGGGCGCTGTCGCTCGAGCAGGTGATCGAGCGGCGGAAGAGGCTCGTCGAGTGGTACGAGCACTCGAAGCTGAAGCTGCGGGAACACTTCCTGACGACGTTACAGCGCGCCCTCGTCGCGTCACCGACGAAAAGGTGACGACACCGCCTGTTGTAGCGAGTGATGTGGCGACGTGCACTGTTAGCCAAGATGTGACAGCATAGTAGCAGATCTAGAGGGGAGGGGGGCTGTCAGCCTGTCAACCCCCACCTCTCCTGAAAGCTAGATCCGCCCCTGCAGCGCTATCTATAGTGACGATGCTATGCGGTACCCTGGTGGCGTTCTCGAAGATGTCCTTGTGACACCTGGTGTGGATACGTGTATATACCTCGCAGGTGTGACTGAACTGGCTGTGGTGATGCAGTGCAACACTTACATGAGAAAAATGTGGTGGCACCAGCTAGTGCGATGATATCATGTATGATAATCTACAAAATACACAATATACTTGCCTACAGTACTGCAACACAGTTGTATAATGACGTGCGATAAAATCGTTACCATAGCGATACCGTATAAGGGTTACCGTAACAGTTTCCTTTATTGTGATTGCGCAGCATTGGCTAGTCAGTAGTCAGTAGAGACATGACTGCATAAATTAAGATGGTGAATCATTGGTGATCTACAGGATATATTCTAGCCCACCCACGTGATGACACCACATACTGTAGGGTTATTTCCGCCTGGAAGTGTGTGTGACCTGAAATCTTAACAGGTCTGTTGTATGTCTCCACAATGTTGACCATACATTTACACACAGACTCCTTACATCTTGGTTTCTATATGGCTTGTATTTATATAGTCAAAGGTTAAGCATAGGGCACTGTGCATTAGGTAACTATGTACTAGTAAAGGCAGCTGGCACCATCCAGTCATAACTACAAGTATTAAAAACATTTAGTTCAGCAATTCAATTTCATGTGATCATACTACACGTTCAAGAGTACAGAAAATATGTGTAGAAATCTATCATGTTGTGTTTGTATCAGGAGTATGATACCGTAAACATGTATATTCTCAAACTGTCGTTAGTATTTATAGATTATAATTGGATCTTAGTAGTACGTTACTCGTACGGCACCATATTGTGAAGAGGCCGCTGTGACTGTTATCAGGAGTTGAAAATCTCAAAAATGTCTATCGTTAGTCTCAAGTTGCCAATAGTGAATGGAGCCATAGGTATGAATGTTATTGTTGTTACAAGAGACGTGGCTATGATCGAGGTGATATTCCAGAATAGTAGAATAACCTTAAAAACTTGCACATAATGTCCCATGTTCTTTCCACGCCAATTTCCTCTTCACACTGTTGTGACATCGTTACTAAAGAAAACTGAAATTGCCGCTTTCTATACTAGAGGTCCAATTATGTGCAGTTTTCACTTAAATGTTTTCGAATGCTTGGTTGTGGTCGTTTATAATTGATACTGATTTATTCTAAATGCATTGCCAATCATTAGGGTTGTGATTTTTTTAATTAACCTCTTGATTTTGGACAAATATTATAGTGCATCATAAACTGTTGTGAATATGAATTGAATAATGTATATATGTAAATTTTTACATTTACCAATAAAATTTAGTAGTATTGTACCCTCTCTGCCTTCGGCAAAATTATGTGAAATTCGAAATATAATATTAAACATGAATATCTAGTCATTCCTGGCAGTGACACTTCTTTTTAGGTTTATTCATTCCCTGGTGAGGGACATCTGTAGACATTTCTGTTCACTTTGCAAACACCGACAATGACACACACAATAATACCTTGTCAGCCCCTAAAAATTGCATACACCATTAATAAAATATGTGCATATAGTCTCTGTCTGTACAATAGTCGATGGCAAATTTGTATCGATTCTTCACATTCTTGTGAAACAATAAGTAGACTACTCTACTCTGAATACTGAGCACTCTACCTTGCCACAGCCATTGATATGGTAAGTGGATACAGAGTTGATTGAATTGTTTGCAATGAAAGTTAGAATACATTCATAGATTGAGTGTTTAGTGAAAGACCTAAAAAAGTTCTTCAAAATTAGAGTCGGACAGACACAAGTAGGTTTAGTGTTTTACAGACATAATCACATCTTCACCGTCATCCAAGTCTCGGCATTGCACATAAGTAAATTGTTTTTCTCAACGATGCATTCCACCTTCTTCGTCCTACTGATGACATGCATGGCTTCTTAATGGAACCTCTCTGCTGCCATTGGCATTCTCTTCCATTACTCTGATGATGTGGTTCATAAGTTGGTAAACACAACCTGTCTTGGCAAAACTGGTGTAGTAAAATAGCAGGGAAGCATTTTCAATCATGCATACGTGCCACTTCGTGCAACGGCGACACATGCACGAACCTTCACCAACGTGTAGACATCTGTGGACCAAGGCTCCCTCAGACATGAGGATGCATTTCACACGTTCTCGTGTATTATGTAGCGGCGACAAAGGCATGTAGCATTCCTGCTCAGCATCTGCGAACCACCGTGTCAGCGGGAAGGGCCCCGGCTAATTATTCCATGGAAAATCGTAATACATCCACCGACGATGGCATCATTTCTAATCCAAGATATAATAATGTAACCCAACAATGCTCTAGGGAAACCGCAACCCCTGCAAGCATTTTCGATGCAAGTCGTTTCATTTTCAGAAATCTCCAGTTCCTTCTAAGAAAGCCAGTGCGTCGATTTCGCGAACGGTGGCTTCCAAATCCTTCTTTTGCAGTGTTTTCCTCTTGCTCTTCGATAGGTGCGTGTATGCCTCTCGAGCAAACGTCTCGATAAATAGTTCTGTGGCTTTTGACACAACGACGACAGCCTCTCGGCTTGCGAGAGTCAAATCTGGATCCTGCTTCATTAGCATCTTGACCCGCGTTAGCGGGAACTTGGTAACTCGCTCCATCTTGTCGAGTCCAGGTTGCACTTCCGGCTTGGCATTTTCAGCAGTGTTGGCAACAGCACTGCTACTGGTATTGCCAATATCACTGTCAGTGTCACCGACACAAACACTGTCAACAGTGTTGTTAGTGTCACTGTTAGTGTTACTGTGACTTTTAGCAATAATACCAATTTTAGAGTCGTTTTCGATACTAGTTACATCCATACTAGATATAATAGCCACGCATTAGCTTTGTTAACCTTTGTGCCACAGAAAAATTATTCTGACACAAAAACCGTAGCAACTGGTAGCAGAAGTTCAAGTATAATGAATAATAAGTTTATATGATGACAGATAAACAGAACTTGCCGCCAAAACTGACGTTCTATTATCGTTAACTCGCTAGGCATTACCGCCATCTGGCGTTAGGCGCGTTCTCAGACTCCAACTTGACATGTCCTGAGCTGAGCGCTCAGCTGAGAACAATATTACAATACAATACAATATAATATATATATATGCAATATATATATATATATACAATATAATACAATATTTATGTCTACATGTCTACATCAGGGGCGGCGCCAGGGTATTTTGTTAGGGGGGCGAACACCAGGTGCGTGTACAGGAGCACGCGAAGGGGGGGGGTCTGGGTGCTCTCCCCAGAAATTTTTGAAATTAGACCCCATCAGATGCGTTTTCTGCGCGAGTAGGGGGGGGTCCGGACCCCCTGGACCCCCCTGGACCCCCCTGTACACGCCCTTGATACCGTGTGCGCTTGCACTGACGGGTGGGTCGCCAGGGGGTAGATTCATGATTCATCAAGCTGCGTACGCAAATATTTTGCGTAAATCTTGTGTACGCAATCGACGTTGCTTAGTTGCGATTTATCAACACGCTATTTAGTAAATTTTCGTACGATTTCGCGTAGCAAGCGAGGCCGTTTTAGGTCGCGATTCATCAAGCTAAAATTTACGTAAACCTTTGCGTAATTTACACGAGCTGACGAGGTGCCGTAAACCACTCGAAATTTCGCGCAGGTTTTCCAGCATACCGCAGCATGCATTATTTATTGAGAAAACATTATAAAATTACTACTCAAACTAAAATAAATAAATAATTACTATACTACATAGACAGGCGGCGCATTTGACGCTTTTTGTCACAGCTTGGCATTGTTTTCGTTATAAGCGAGTTCGTAGTTAGCCGTGTACGTGCACACGCCTGTGCGCACTTGTACGTTCACACGCAACGCACTTGTTACGTGCACACAAGCACGCACGTGTACGTACACACGCACGCACGCACGCCCGTGTACGTACGCAAGCACGCACGTGTACGTGCACACGCCAGCACGTGTACGTGCACACACACGCACGCACGCACGTGTACGTGTCGCTGCTTTCATCGAGTGTTGAACACAATCATACAAACGAAAATGAGGACAACTATCACATCCCCCAGCACTCCTGTAGACAGCTAGAGCCATATGGTTTACATACAAGAGAGGCGTCAGTTTGGTTCCTATGGTATGTGTCGCACAGTGTGAGGTTTATGCTAGGCACGCTCCTCAACAGCCAGCAGCTACGATGGCGTAGTGGATTTACACCGGAATTCATCAACATTTGCGTACGCAGGTGCTACGCTGCGTTGATGAATCGCACCTACGAGCTTTGCGTACGTACTTCGTAGAAACTCTGTGTACGCAATACACTTTGCGCAACGTTGATGAATCCGGCCCAGGGGTCCGGGGAAGCTCTCAGAGTTTAGCTAATCAAAGCCTCAAATTGCTGACAAAAAATTGTGCAGGGAACCAAGGAGCAACATATACCAAGGAGATGAAACCCCGGGGGGGGGGACTCACCCCACATTATGGTAGGTATCTGGTATGTGCCAAGTTAAAAATGGGGGGGGGGCTCTGGAACTAACTCAGACCTGAAAATGGTGGTCTCTGGAACTAATGTTTGTTGAATGTGGTATGCTCTGGAACCGGCTAAGGTTTCGAAAATGGGGGTCTCCGGAACTAGCTAGGAATTCGTTGAAATTCAATGCTATGAAACTGGACACGTTTAAAAAAGGGGTCTTCGGAACTGTGGGGGGAACAGTGATTTGCTTTAAAATCTATGCTGTAGCACTTGAACCAATAATTGTTGTATTATGTAGAAAAGAGAAAAACATGACCCGGAGAGAGATGAACGCACGCACACGCACACACACACACACAGACACACACACACACACGCGCGCGCGCGCACGCGCGTGCGCATACACATATATACTAACTAAAACTAGACAGAGGGCACTCACAGAGAGAGAGCATACCTCCGCCAGCGACATACGCCATACGCCTAACAGCTCAAACGAACACACGAATAACCCACGATATACGCCAGCGTATATGTATGCTCGCTCGCCGCTCAGTCAGCAAACAGCCGGCTGTGGCTGGCTCGCTCGCTGACGCGCTAATATCGATCGCGTCACAACACACACCACACACACATACACACACACACACACACACACAACACACACACACACACACACACACCAACACACACACACACACACACACACACACACACACACACAACACACACAGCCACACACACATTACACACACACAACCCACCCACCACACACACACCACAACACACACACACACACACACACACACACACACACACACACACACACACACAACACACACACACACACACACACACACACACACACACACACACGCTAACGTGTACAACAGAATCGCACCAGACCCGATCACATAACCTCCCCTCCACTTCGTTGCGAGGTAAAAATAAGATAGCATGTAAGAGTATTATTAGAGGTCAGTCTGAACGTTGTAATTATAATCTATAAGTTGTTAACACCCACCCAAGTGTGCCTACCTTTCCGCCGGGAAACAGCATCATCGACAAATGATGGTCCCAACTTGGGACTCCAAGGAAATAACACCTTGACATCGATTATCAAAATTAAGCACACAGGTTTTATATGGATTGAATTTCGACACTTAAATTTTCGATTTTTCGATGAAGTGGTCCAGCTTGTAGGCTACATCATTATTTTGGGCGATCCCCTATTATTTGCAAGAATCTTCTTCTTCTTTACCTTTTCTTGAAAATGATGGGGGGGGGCCCCCACCCCACCATCATTTGCAAGACATTTGCAAGATGTTTTCTTTTTCTTTTTCTTCTTCTTCTTCTTTTCTCTTCCTTTTTCTTTTTCTTTTTCCTTTTTCTTTGTTCTTTCTTTTTCTTTTTCTTCTTTCCTTTTTCTTGCAAATGATAGGGGGGGGCGACCGCCCCCCCCTGCCCCCTGTGGCGCCGCCCCTGGTCTACATCGATGTCTGTGTCTGCATTATTACCCGCGCAGGGTTTATGAGTTATTGCGGGCATGGCGGACAGCAAGTAAGCCATATATTTATTTTTCAAGTTAAAAGACTGCAATGAAAACATATTTAAATATTTGAAATTCATAGAATAAAAATACTCCCTTCAATGTCAGACGTGGTGCGAACAATTTTACGGTGTCTCTGAAAGGTGTTAATCAACAGCAGTGAATTAGCGAAAGTAAACTCTCGATTCTCCAGAGCTTACGAGAATGAGGTATCTCGTAGCGAGAGAATGCCTGTAGGTAAATAGTAGATCAGGCATTATGTATATATATATATATATATATCAGGCGGCTAAAAGCCGCCACACACGGTGTAGGTAAGTGTTGTTATTGTATGTAATAAACAATGTTTTGTCAACAGACTATAAAAGATATATAATCTCGGATAAGTTACATTGTTTACGGATATGGTTATATTGTATAAATCTCTGTCGAAGCTCCTTTTCTATACAATGCTGGGATAGGAACGCGCGGACACGTCGCCGACCTGTCGTCCAACGGAAATGACGTAGGGCCACCGATATACTAAGGAGTGTGGGATGCCTACACAAGGTGCGCATCGCACGGCAACCTTGCTACGTTAATGTGGTGGCACTGCTCTGTGGAAGGACCCTTGCTATACTAATGCACAGGGATACAGCGCGGCAACGTCGACGACCTGTCACCTAAAGGAAATGAGCGTATGTCGACGTTGAGCAGTTTAATCGGAAATGTGGCATTTTTTTCAGCATCTCTCCTCTAATCTCAATTAAAGCTATATTATTCAGGTTTTTTCTCCAATTCGCAGACCTACGCATTAAATGGCGCGCGCGCAATGCGCAAGATATCTCTCGAGACGAAGATATTTAGCAAAAGTGTGGCATTTCAAATGAAAGAGGATTCTAGCATAGATATATATGAAAACATTCAATCAGTAGACGCAGTCTTAATAATAGGACGAAGAATGTGCATATGTAAGGGCCCGCTGCACATGCATATCGCCGTCGCCGTACGAAAAAGATGGCGGCTCTGCAATTGGAGATAAATCGTATATTTTGGCAAAGATTGTGCATTTAAAATGAAGAGGAGTTATCCTAGCATAGATTTAATATGATAACATTCCATCTGTAGACATCATTTAAGAAATAGGAGGAAGACCTTGCATGTTAGGTCCCGGCTGCGTATACGCAGCCAGTACACAGCAATCTGGCTACGTTAGTGTGTTAGCGCATGCGCAATATCTCACCAGAGGAGTTATATTTGTGATGAATATGCATTTAAAATGATTAGGGTATCTCAGCATAGATTCCTGATAAACTTTTATCAGTAGACCTGTGTTGATAATTAGGAGCGCGCCCTAGCATGTAGGGTACAAAACATCTACTTTATGCCCTCGCGCCCTTCCCCTTGCCTCCCCTGTGCCTCACTCAGCCACCGTCTTCTTCTACCGCCCCCAGCTATCTTCCCTCCCGCTTTTCCTCAGTCTCGCATCCCCCTTTCTCCGCAGCAAGCTATATTATAAAGTTTCTTCAAACGGCACTGTACGCCTAACACGGTGCGCGCGCATGCGCAATATCTCCCGAGAGCAATCGTATTTTGCAAAGATTATGCATTTAAAATGAAGAAGAGTTATCCTAGCATATATTTATATGATAAAATTCCATCAGCAGAAATCATTTAAGAAATAGGAGGAAGACCTTGCATGTAAGGTCCCGCTGCGTATACCAGCCAGTACAACAAATCTGGCTACTTTAGTGGTGTAGCGCATGCGCAATATCTCACCACAGAAGCCATATTTTCTGATGAATATGCATTTATTATGGTTAGGGAGTATCTTATAGCATAGATTTTTGAAATAGATTGTTATATGTAGACCTGTGTTTATAATTAAGAGAGCGCCCTAGCCTGCAGGGTGCAAAGGGTAAAAAGTAGGCAGAGGAAAAATTGGGGGGCAAAAAGATGGCTAGGACAAAATTT